AAAATTAGGTTTTTCACAGCGTTTTCTGAAAACAAAACATATTCATTTTTTTTGCAAACGGACCAATCAAATTCAAGATTAAACTATGCAAACGCTGAAACTGTTTAAAACCCTTTGAACTTACCTTGCCTCTCAGGAAACAGCCCTCAAATTTATAAATGTTATTACTTAATACTTATGGGCTCCTGGTCTCAGCCATGGCCGCAGTCACAGCTGCAGTCACAGTAACGCCCAAAACCACTTTCATAGTCACAATCACAGTAGCAGTCATAGTCGCTGTTATATGTGTGTAGTCACTAACACAATCCCAATCAGTCAAACTTTGCTACTTACCCTGGCTGTCAACCCCCCACGTCTTCAAATATTGAGAATTCATGTGGAAGGGATGGTAGCTGACGTCATAATGTACGGCACATTACGTCATTTGTGAAAATAAAACACGCGAAAATACATGTTGTTGGAATTGTAACATTTGACCCAACTGGTTTACTTCCCACCAACCACATTATTACTCATATTACAATGCCATACCGGAGTTTGTGAGGAAACGTTCGATGTTAACAGTAAAATAGCTCAAACAACGCAAAATATTTGAAATTTCATTGTCAGAAAGCCGAATCTACAAGACTGGCAAACTTCGGCAATTACCCGGAAGATTTCAGACTCTAATCTGGAGACCGAGAGAAACGGTTCAAAATCTGGAGTCTCCCGGATTATCCGGAAGAGTTGACAGCCCTGACTTACGTAGTCACTGCCAAAGTAACTATCACTGCTGTAATCACTAATACAGTCAATTTAAATTTTTTCTTATCGTCATGGTCATAGTTACGTCAGAAATTAAACTGAGCATTGTCACAGTTGGTGACAAAATCATAAACCACTGGCTTATAATCATAGTGACAGTTATAACCGCAATTTACGGCATTTTACCCAAATCAGGTTATCTCGTCTTTGTTTCATGGCATCTACCGTTCTCTGGACTTTTTCCTGCGAGTAAACACCTAAAAAAAATTTAAAAAAGGTTTTTGAGACTAAGGGAAACATGGACTATGGAGAGCTTAAAATCAAAACTATAGTGTTCGAAGAGAGCCTTTCATTCAGCTTTATCATTGTAGTTATGACTAGAATGTCCTGGCAATTTAATATATCTCCTTCTGCTTTCTTATCGGGTCTTCTTTCATTTGAAATTAAATGAGCAGCTGTGAGGGATAAAAAGGTTTTTTATTAGCTCTTGTACATTTCCACTGCCTGTGCATGCTACCTTAACAGGGGCTGGTCGTTTGAATGATACCAGAATTCTATTTTTCCATGACACCTTTCCGTAACAACATAACGGGAAACAGCCCTATCACTTTTTGGTCCTAATTCTATTAATCCATATATGGAGAATAGGTCACTATTTTAACACGAACATGGTCATTTAAAACGTCTTGAGATTTAGTTCGGATAGAATAAGACCTATTTCCTTCCACGAGAAAGCAAACATTTTCTTAATTAAGAAGTCATCTTTAATTTTCAATGCCTGCCTTATAGTTAACCAGCTCAATATTGTGCAAAATAGCAGAAATGTGACACGTTTTATTTACCAAAAGAATCTTTCATGAACATATCTTCGATCGCATGACGAGAGATCAGCTCAAAGTATTCGTCTGGGGACAAAGCATTCGTGACAGTCGTGGTGTGAAAGATGATCTCGGATGCTTTCTTCTCCAGGGCAAGTTGCTGCTGAAGGTATTGGTCCCGTTGGATTCTCAGGTAGGATCGCAAATAGACCTTAAGAAATTAAGAATGCATGAAAGCACACATGAATCACTGTGTTAACCAACCATTGTCTCCTCCGCTGGCGATTCGTTTTTCGCACAGAGGTCAGCGCGAAACGCGAGTGACACGCAGGACTGGTGAAGAAGCGCAATGGACCATGGGAAGGAGAAAAATGAGAGGTGAAGCGGCGTCTTGCCCGTTCTCTCCTTCCCGCCTTCCTTTGCGCGCACTTTTTTATGGATAGAGAGACCAGGGAGAGACATTTGGGTACGAGGCAGCAACTAAGATATTTGCCAGTCAATGGTCTCTTAGTTAGTCGTGCGGTTGCTTGGCTAATCGAACTCACGACCCTCCGAGTTCTAGTTTGGATGCTCTAAACCACTGAGCTACAGAGCTATAACTTAAATACAAAGCATTAGTACCTCTCCAGGCTGAATGTCCTCGGCCTCTTTAATAGTTCCTGTGCTCAATAACTGCACAAATTCCCAGGGCTTTATGGTCACCTTCAGAGTGAGAAGATTTCCGTTTGCTTCCAGGTCCGACTCATCCGAAGTCTCAAAGTTGTAATGGATCATCTAAAAAGTGGTAACAAAAAAACGGATCCACTGTCTTAATTAATCTCCTACAGGCATACACTGTCTCATATTGCCGTGACAGCTGTTGAATTTACAACTCTGACAAACAAATCGACTTGACTGTCTTAAAGTAGTTTCTCTATACCTCTGACAGTCTCTCGTGCACCTTTCCCGAAGACTGATTTTACTTCAGCCTTCAAGTCCAATTCCTCATTCTATCCCCAAATACTATCTTTATTCTTATTGTCACACACTTACAGTCTTTGTTTGATCATAATTTTATCATTACAGTCGAACCCCGCTATTTCGAAGTCCCAAGGGAAATGGAAAAAAGTTCGAAATAGCGGGGCTTCGAAATAACCGGGGAAGCGTAAAGGGGAAGGGTAAATCCAAGGGCATTCGATCTTCCTTCGAAATAGCGGGGACTTCGAATTAACCGAGTTCGAAATAGCGAGGTTTGACTGTATTTTCACGAGATAAGAAGTGCGTTATAGTATCGACAGAAAACCAAAATGGAAAGCCAAAGTATTTGAGACTACTCTATACTAATGTAGTGCAATGAAAATAGTTATGTATCCTTCACCCCAGTTGTCGGTCAGGGTGAATACGGGTTGTTTATACTTAAGAAAGTTTTCGCACAGTGTTTTTGTTTTCCCTTCAGGTGGACCCCAAAAGTCATAGTCAACCAATGTGTTTTCAAATTGAAGTATTTGATTTCGTTACGGTTCTGGAGTTCTAGGAACACTATTTGGTGCAGATTCTATTATTGGTTATGTCTTTCGAAATTTCAATCCAAGACATTAAACTGCAGAAGAAGAATAATAAGACGACAACGAAGAAAAAGAAGGAGAAGACGGCATGTCAGGCATGCAGAGAAAGGAAAAGAACAAACAAAGCGAAACTTTCACTTGTCACCTCAGTTAGTAGTATATACCTTAGCATTAACGGCAAATTTCTGAAAAAAGCTTTTGTACTCTTGACGATGAAGGTCACATCCAAGAAACAGCACAGATCGTTCGTTGAAAATTCGATGCATAAAGTCAACTTCTGCACTTTCAAGAGTGCTGCAAAAGTCCTCAAAGTAGTTCTTGCTGCTGGGCTTCAAAAGAAAAAATGTTGAGCTTAATAATTTTATTGCTATTATTAAAACTGAAAACGGAAACTGTTTTTGATTTTCAGGGGATCAGTCAGTGTAAATAGACAAGCCAAATGTATTGTTGACAAACTGCACGAGGAATAATTTACTAATTTCACGACTATAGCTTTTATTTACCTATTGATATCATGGGTGAAAAACTTCGCTTTGTACCGTTCGCAATTCCGCCCATTGAAAAGTTTCATTGAAGTCCTCAATTCTCTGAATCGTTCTAAAAATAACTCCTTAGAATCCATCCTGCTGTTAGAGATTATGCTTTTTTCCTGTCTTTAGGTTTTTCTACCCTGCCTTTTTGTCCTGATATTTTTATTCGCAACATTTTTTTAACCTGGACGTCAAACTGGTTTGGAACGTTGCCATAGCAATTTTGTAACTTTCACATGTGAAAAAGACCCTTCTAGCTTGCATGTTTTGTTCTCCTAATGGAGGTCATGTGATAATACTATAGAGATCTCTGTTTCTTTCAAGCTTTTTCTTATTGGCTTGCATATGTACGCATAATCAGGCATAATTCTTGAAAAGACAAGAGGTCAAATTCACCTGGGACATTCACAGAGAACCAAAACATACAAGCTGTCAAGAGGTCTATGCTGGAATTTCGTGCCAGATCTGTCGCCATGATTTAAAGTTTGTGCGAACTTACCTGTGTCCGGACATTGAAACTGCTATCTCCAAGACATTTGATAATCAGATCTCTGCGCAGGTTAGGCCAGGAAGGAGCTACACATGAAATCTGAAAAGGGACATTTTCATTTTGAATACTCAGGACTTCTGAATACTCAAAAAGGTAAGATGTGGATTAAATACCAAACTGTTTGATGGGATGTTAAGTGGGACCCAGTATTTCCAGAAACTTATAAGGGGTTGAACAACATCTTTGAAGGGTTGGTGCAGTAAATTGGTTTGAAATCGGGATGAGTATAGTCCAGGGCCCGTTCCTCGAGTTTAAGTTTAACCCAGGATTAAGCCAAATTTTAAGCAAGGATTTCTCGTCTAAGGACGTGCAACTCGAGGTTACAAAATACTATTGAGCTTTTACTACGAAGTACAGTAATGATGACTCAAAATGTTACCCTAAGCAACGCGTAGGAAGGTAAAATACAAAAACGGGGTACAAAATTTTAATCTTCGATTAGCGTTTATCGTGACTCGCATGCGGGACTTGCATCCGGGACTTGTTAAGTTTCAATTTAAAATGAGAGAGCGCGCTGAAGAAGTGTGTTGATTTTAAAAGCCTCTGTGGCGGTTTTCATCAAACAAGTTCTATTTTGATCACCTGTAAACGGATAGAACTCTCTAAATCATGAAGTAGTGGGTCAAAATTGTATCGAAACATTATCGAGACCAGTTCTTGAGAAAAATCTACGAAAAAACAAGCTTAAACTTAACAAACACATCGCGGTGATTTCGGTAGCGTCATGTAAAATTCACGTTTCGTTGAGTCATCAAGCGATTGTCAGTAATAAAAGACTGAACTGTTTTCCACTTGCCTGATCAAGTCGAACTTTGTCTCCAACATTCCCAGCCTTCCAAAGGAAGCGCTCTAACAGGTCATCCATGTTCGTCGTTATGATAACAGGAAACTTCCCAACATTCCGCAGCGCATCATGAACACGTGAAGGCGCTTGCTGTATGTTTGCCAGGAATTTGTCCTCAAGATCAAATAGAGTGTCGACGCCTTTCTGTTAGGGAAAGATGAACAATGAAATCCGCCAGTAAAAGTTAAGAAACATAATAGGCTGACACGTAATTAAAACCAACAAAATTTAACGTTAAATTTAAATCGGATTGCACGCTGCCTAGCAAACAACCAACTAAGAGGGTTAGGATTGTGTGCTGATGATTGGATCCATCCTCTATTAACCACATAATGAAAGTCATCATGAATCGACAAACATGCTTTAAAAAGGTGGAACTATCTCAGTATACTCTTTGAACTGCTCAAACTCTGGGCAAGTCACCCTTAATTTTTCGATCGGTGGTGAAGAAGACGAGGCTCGCGCCGTCGATCGTACTTGTTTTTGTGATTCAGTGTTAGGTTTGGACCCCAGAGGGTACTCCCAAACGCTTTACACAGGGAGGCTACGCCCCGAGGTTCAATCCCTTACCTATTTACAGAAGAGCTACCCCATTTTAAGGTACCCCGTAAACCTTCTATTGACAAACGGTACCCCTTTCATAAATCTGCATCCCTTTTATAGACTGCTGTAAATGCACTGTCTTTTAAATGCACTGCCTTTTAAACTCGTAAATTGTCTCGACGTTTTTCACACCCGTAAATTCATTCTCCTATTAGCTCTTTTAGGTCTTTTTACAGGAGGAAATGACAGATTTCCTCACCCTTTCCTGAAGCCTGATAATGGTACCCATTTTGGGTGGAGCCTCCACGTATAGGCAAGAGAGAATAATCTAGATCATTCTCTCTTGGTATAGGCAATTATAGATATCACCCCCGGGCCCTATTTCGGAGTTTCAAACAGCTCTTACCTCTGACTGGTTAATAACCTGCCACCAATCATCCAATGAAGGATAAGGATTGTCAGGGGAAGTTAACGCTGAAGCTTGTTCACCAACGAATAGCACAAGCATTCCCCTGGCGATTTTTGATCGGATAGTTTCAAGGTGAGTGGACAACTGCAAGCGCACGTTGTCAGCTGAGTCCATTGTAGAATAACTTGATTGTTGGCTGCATTGAGTTAAACAAACAAACAAAGCAAATGAATTAATTTAACTGAAATGTACTGAACTCAGTGTTGCTGCTAACCCTTTTTGTGAATTTCGTAGGAGTAACAACTCGAGCCTTTGCTTTTCAATTCTCTGTTATTCAGGAAGTTCAGTTTTCTTAAAGTTTTTCGTCATCCGTGCGTTTAATTGGTTTTTACAGCGAGGCAGAGCCAAATTTTTCTCCGCGCTCTGTAAGAGTCTATTTCTACAGTACCTGCCTGTATAGTGTTTTTTCTGTTAAGCGCGTTTCTGCTACATGGGGGGTAAAAACGGTCTTGAAATCTCTTCCTTTTTTCTAATTTCATGTGGGAAGATCAAGCTGTACCTGTCCGATCCTTCTTCCTTGCTCTTTTTCTATCTTTCTTTTTCATTTTCTTCCAAATCTAGTTTTGTTGCGCACCTTATATCGTGTCTCTTTTCCATGGAATTACGGCTGGCTAACTTTCCAGGAAAGTCCCAGAAAGGGGTGACAGAAAACATGGGAACTGTCTTCCTCTCACTTTAAAAACCTATTTTGCTAAAATCGTTAAATTTGGCGAATTTATGTCGAAAAAAGCCAATTCAAAGCAAGCCGGTTGCTTTGAGATTTCCTTCTTAATCAATATACTCAGTATAACCTGTGATCTCCTAGAAGTGAATGTTGTCAGACAAGAAACTGATAGTTTATCAGTCATGTGTTAAAAGAATATTTGTACCAAAGCCAATCATACGGCAGGTAAACGAGATTTCCCGTTTTCAAAGTATAGTAGTTCCAACAGCATTAAAAAATAAAATGTATAACCCTTTCATTGTTCCATATCATATTTTAGATATTGTTTGGCAGTTTCAGTTGGCACTTTTGTAGGGCTCCGAAAAGGCCGCTCAGGATTTTTCTCAACCAGAAATTTTTGCCTTTCCAGGAACTTCTAAGTGAGATAAATTCTACTGATTTGTACAGTACCAGGTGCCATGATATGATAATCATAGTTTTAAGGCTGAGATAAGTGTCACGATGCCGAATCAGTATCTGGGTGGAATGTGTCAGATAAGGAATGCTACTCATAATCTGCGGGGCAGGATTAAACATACAGTAACACAACAACTCATGGTTTACACTCCTTTCCACGGAGTAGTCAATCGATAAATCGATAAAAATCGGTAAATCTAATTTGATTGATATCGATTATCTATCCATCGATAGAAATCGATGACACACTCGTTTCGTTTATCGATATATCTCGATTTTTACCCATTTCATCGATTTCAGTATCGGAAGATGCTTCTGTACAAGATACATAAGTTGTGGTTGTAACAGTTTCCACACTGTATTTACGGTATTTTCATTTTGTGGATCAGTTGTTACTCGTGAATGTGCTTTTTCGGCTGTACTACCTAACTCATGCCAAATAAACAACTTACAATGACAGACTTCAGCTATAAATCGTTAAAATCATGAAAATCGATAATATTGATTTGACATAGCTATTTAGTTTGTCGATTTTCACCGATTTCCGTTATCAATCGATAAAAATCACTTTCAGATTGCTACCGATTTTTATCGATACCGATTTTTATCGATTGACTACACTGCGGGGTCTTTAGGTATTCATCAACAACTATCTGAACTATGCAGAATGAACTCACTGAAGAGCTGAGGTCTGCAACACGCAAAAACGAGTTTATATTCCTACACTGGCTAATGAACTCGTTGCGCCATACATTAGACAGCTGGCGTTTTGAACAAAAGCAAAACAATGCCAACTTATTCGCAAATCGTTTGTGCGGTGTTTCTGAGAAGAAGAAGACAAGCTAATCAATTGTGTTCTTCCAGGAAAGAACCGGCCACAAAATACGAAATCAATATTTGAAGGGCAAAAATTACAAATGTAGTTGTTTCTCTGGGGTAAACAAACTACTACGTCATCATGAATTGAAGTTTGCTTAAATAAAGGTGCACGTATATAAATTTTCAACGAAACTTTTGCATAGAATCGAATGTCTGAGAATGCTTGTTGGCGTAGGATCTACAAAAACAATTACTCGCGTCGCGTAATACCTACTCGCTTTCCTTTTCTAACAATCGAACTCGTAATATAACCGTTAACCTCCAGAGAATGACCTGTTTGATTATATTACATGTACACTGCCCGGGCCTTAACCATGCACCAGCGCAGCGCTTGAGGGTAGCATCAGAACCAAGAGATCTGTTTATACTGTTCTCTTGATCAGAACATGGCGACGTTTTGAAAGCCCGAGTATGTCCACCACAAAACCCCCTAAATTTAGGTGTCCTTTAAAAGATACACTCCAATTTTGCTGCTTGATGTTACAAATTTTGCTTGTTTTTTGAAGCAAAGACGAAGGCGTTTTGAGTCCGAAATCGACTCAGAAAATCAAAATTTACGATAAGCCATCGACGTCGACCCGGAAGTTGTTATTTTAATTCTTACCTCAACTATACATTATTTCTTGCTCGATATCCCAGACGATTTATGTACGAAAAAGCAAGCAGCGAAAGTTCATTGAAGAGAAGCTCGTCTTGCAACGACATGAAACATGATGTTTCGCGTCACCTATTGAGTACGAAGCCACATATACCCCTTTCTCGATGGCTCTCTCTCTCTCTCTTTTCCTTAAACGAACAGTTTTGACGTTGTCACTGTTTCGCGTCTTAAAAGATCACTAAGAGAGAAAGTTTCTTGGCTCGGCTGTAGTGTCTGGGAGCAGAAATGTCAGCATGATCGCAAAATAGGTTCAGGACAAGAGATCATAATAGTACAGTGACCTATTATGGCTCTTGGTTCAGGATCAATGGAAATACTTACTGAATTCGACCTCGGTCTTCCAGAAATCTTATAGTGTATATGTTCTTCTAAGAAAGATAATAAATGTTTACGATACCTTAATATTACAAATCTTCTTCTGACACGGTGCGTTGCTTGCTCCTGAAAATACGTTGAAAATGAAACCAAAAGAGATCGAACAATTCGATAAAAAGGGAAATTTCCCACTGTTTGTGCTTCACTTCACATAATTGAGGATCGAAGAAGAATATCTGCTTACTTGACACAAAACAAACTAGAGATGAATTCCAAGAAAACCATCATGATTTCCGTCGTTTTGCATTTTTCTTAAGCACTGACACAGACGTCCTACCTTAGAGAACTAAAAGTAATAAACGATCGCCTAGTATTAAAGGTTTCTAGACACGAATACGGAAATGGGGACGGTTTACCGGAACGGTGCGTTTTGTTGAATAGCTGAACAAACGGTTTTACAATTCAAAACCATTCAGACGGTGGCAAAATTATTTTCAAGAATATTAGTCTTCCTTCATAGAATCCATAACCTGGAATCTGTGGAATCATTTCTTTGACTGCAATCGTGCTCAAAACCCTGCCTGCCAGACGGGAATTGGGGGGGGGGGGCTACCATTAACCATCCATTTGTTACCGCAGACTGAGAATTTGCCCAAACAGAATTTCGTAGTAGAATAAGCAATTTTCGAATTCAAGACTAATAACCCTAATGCCGGCATCAGAATAAATTCATGATCATGATTAGTCCAAGCTTTACAGGGACCATGTGGGGGCAGGGGGGAGGGGGGCGTGACACTATTTTTAATCTTTTTCAAAAAGCTTAAGCGTGTCTTCGCATCAATTTGTGCATTGAAACTGTTTCTGTTGTCCGTCGTCACAAATTGCAAAGATAGACATGGATTGAAATTTTAAAAAGGATGAATTGGGCAAACTTTTTCAAGTTTTTATCCTATGCTTGCAAAAATCACCAAAACAATATTATTATTACTTAGATGAAATTTAAAGGAGGCTCCTTCAAAACTCTACAGGAACTGACCAAAAACAGCAATCCTCCTGAAAAAGCCCCTTTAAACAGACGAACTACCTTATAGTCAAAAGTTAAGTCTGTACACTAAAAAGGTTAGTGTCGAGCGGTGTATTAATTCGCGAAGAGTAGTTACCGTACACATCAGTCTATTGACATCCCCTTCCCTCCCACCCCCCACCTCCCCACACATCCTTGGGGTGCATGCGGAATTTACCTCGGCCAAAGTCGGGATTTAAAGCACATTTAACTACGCGATTGCCCCCTAACACGTGAGAACCCAGACTGAGTTTCGGATTGAGGTGTCTTTAAGTTGGCTCTAAAGCTGTACTTATGCTGGTTTTGGGACCGAAGACAAATTAGCGCCTCGTTTCGCTAAAGTTTCGGAAGCCGACTGAATTTAATCGATAAATGAAGCAGCGGTTCCAATGAACAGATACCAAGAAAGAGGAAAAAATAGGACTTTTCGGTGTTTTCTTGTAGGTAGAAAAGTATTTCTCTTATGAATCATAAAAGTTTACCAGACAAAAAAAACCGAAATATCTGTAACATTGTCAATTTTAATTGTTTAAGTTCTAAAAAACATAAAAAAGCCTTGTTAATAACTGACCTCTTTTTTTCAAAACATTACCTTTTCATTTTTATCTGTCTGATACTGTAAATACTAAAACATTAATATCCCCGTCGGGGTCGACGGTGCCCGTATTGTGCTTGTAAAATGCTGGAAAAATGCTTACCACACGCAGCCCAAGCTCGAAATGCGCATTTATTTTTTTCCTTTTCCGGCTTACCTTTTATAGGTTGGTAAACACTCAGAAATTCGCATAACTTGAAGTTTTCTATGAAACAGTTGATTTTTTTTCGTGCTTGATATGTGCCCTTAACCTATAATTTGCTCAAAAATTGCTCAGAAAGGCAAAAGTTGCTCAAAATCGGGACTTTTATTCGGGACAGGCATAACGGTGCCTAGCGCTAGGAATATACTACTTTTTTATCCACCACTATTCTGTGACCTCTCCTTCGGAGGATAGTTGTATAAAATACAAACAAACATGAAACAAACGAACGAACAAAGGTTTTAA